TTAAGATCATATATTTTTACGGTCATGTTGCGAGTTTATACCCATTCGGTAAGATTTAAGTTGCCATTATATAGTTTTGAACATATAACTGTTTAAATTTGAAAAGTACCTTGAGTATCCTAAACCTCCTAAAGAGCTTAATAAATTGAAGGACAATATACGGCATTGGTGTATGAAATAAAGATTATATATGATGTATCTATGTGAATTAGATGGGTTTATATTATGAATAAAACTGACATACATCTTATGGGGGCTATACTGAGGTTAAACGCTCAAAAACATAAAATATAATCAACTGGGGCACTTGAAATGAAAAACGAAAAACTGAAAAAGTTTATAAAAAAAATTCTTATAATTTATTGGAAAATCGTTTTTGAGTTCGCTTCTTAGTCCAATTTAAGTGAAAAACGTTTATACGCTTATAATTTTTTTTTATTATAATTAAAATATTATTTATAAAACCATGCCAGCAAAAGATCTGAAAATTTGAACACAGTTATTGGTATATATACCTACATCAAATGAAATGGAAAAAATATGTCCTTGCCTACCATGTCCAAAAACCTTAGTGGAGCCCATTTAAGGTTTAGACAAAAAATTCTAAACAAAATTAATTAGAATTTTTTTTGATAATGTTGTTACCTTTACTAAATATTTATGCTACTTTTTGTGCACATGTTATTGCTTGATACGTGTTAAATGTGTGTTATGTAATCTGTGACAATTGAAAAATAAAGTGATTTGTATTCTATTGTATTGTTAGCAATATCAAATATAAGTAAATTTTAATTATAATCTTGAGTATTGTACTATAACTCACTATGTGTTTTACTCTATGCCAGGTTGTATATTTAATCAGACTTGTATGGCGGTAAATAGCACGTGGTCAGACGGATGTAGAACTAGGAAATGTGTGGTATATAAAAGAAACAAAATGATTCATAGAAGTAAAGCTCCTGTAGCGGCAGGTAATTTGGCTTTACTTTAATGACCGTTGATCTTAAATTCATATTCTATAGTTTCTGTCTTTATCCGTTTGCAAAATATTTGTCATTGGGCATTCAATTATCACAAAAAACACTTGAAAAAAATATTTGAAATTTATGCGCCTACATTTGATCATTTACAAGAACTGGTACATGGGGATTTATCTTTGTTCCTAAGTATTGAGATATGCGTAGGGCTGGTACATTTAATAAATTGAGAGACAGACACCTTTACCACTAATTTCTCTACGGTCACTGATTTTTGATTGTTTTTATCTTTATTTTAGTTGTTTTTCATTTTAATGATCGGGGTGTTGTTGCTTTTCGGAATTATTTTTGTCATACTATGTTCTTTTCCGTACTAAAGTACGGTATGGAAAGATACAAAGAAGGCTTGCTCAATTAATTCATGTTTAGTGAGTGTAAACAGACAATTGTATTGGCGCGTGAAAAAAAACTTAAGAGTATAATAATGGAAATAATTGCCTGTAGTTGTTGTGTTGTTGGACATATTTCATTCACTAATTCTGATGTTTTCTTTAGGTTGTGATGATGAAGGTATATGTAGAAATGTAGGATATCAGAAGGTCACGCCCTCGTGCATGTTTTACGAATGTATTTTCAACGACACATATAAGGACTCGTTCTTCTCCCTCATCAAAGGATGTAAGTATATACATGTATATCATGCAGGTTTATTTATAATAATCAGTTAGTGAACGACACGTGTATTGCAGATAAATCAAATCATAAAAACAGTAAAACAAGGTACTGTGTCGTGTACAATCTGATTAAAATCAGCTCCTAAATAACACTACGCATTACGATATTACAATCATCAAAAGGTCGTCAACTTCTCTTAATTTTTCAAACAGCCAATCGAGCTTTCACAATTTTGAACGCGATGCTGTTTTTAATTTATACCGCTTAAAACCAATAGTGTGTTTGTAATTTTCACGATTTAGAGACAATCATGGTGTTGTCCATGTAACGAACAGGTAAACTGGCAAAACAATCTTGCCCATTCATTAAAAATTGAGTCTATTATTTCCAGTTTACTTGTTCAAAAACCCTTGTCACTTTATATAACTGTAATACCCTTCACCCGTAAAGTATCATGTATCAAGTATGCGTGACAAACCGTCAATATTGCTTTTCGACACGGACTTTAAAAGGCATTGATTGATAAGTCATATGTTTTCAATGTAATATTATCGTTACATATTTCATGTCATAATACACACGTATGATGTACATGTATTTATAAATGGTCTTTCAAACGGTTAGTTCGCCGGTTTCAGCGAATTTACCTGCTTCATTTTAAGAACCGCCACTTTTGAAACTGTCCATTATCAGTTTTTGGGGTATCAAGATGGATATTTAAACCAAGTTTAACCAACAGTAAAGAAACTTGTCAGTCTGCAAGGATGTGCAAGCAGATCAGGCTCAGTACTGGTGACAAAGGCTTCATTATTTATTGTTTTATTGTGAGAAAAGGAATTATATATATACAGAACAATGAGTTGTCATTTCACATAAACGCGTTCAGGAACTATAAATAATCTCCCCTCTGCTTGGTTTATATCAATTTGTATAGGCCCTTTGACTTACGCCTGTAGGAAATAACACAATCATGTAAACTCCTAATGTTCTGTGTGACGTGTTAGAATACATTCTGTTATTACAGCATGTCGATCAGATGATGGCACATGTTATGATGTTGGAAAAACATGGACAGAAAAACAAAAGAATTCATGCCTTGTTTATAAATGCAAGAAAGAAAAACTGGGATATCTGTCCAAAATGATTGAACAACGTAAGTGAATATATGTCATTTGTGAAACAATATTTGTTCAGTAATTTTGGAAGCATTATATTAATATATAATATATTTTAATAATAAGCTGCTTGTAAGCTATTTACAAGAATATATATATGAAAGCTCATAAACTGACTTATTAACGACGAAACGATGAAAGTTTATTTATGAACTAAAAGGATCGCCACAAAGCCTAACTCAATGGATTTCCAAAGACCGACTTTAAGAACTATATACCTCTAATAAGCAAAGATGATAAGATATATATATGCAATTTTAAACCAACGGCATAGATATATAGGTTTAAAAAACAATCTCATTACACGTTGATTGCATTCATGTACGAAATTGTTTACGAACAGCGTAAACACACATATATATACAAACGTCACTGTGAGTTCTAGGTTTAAATCTTCTTTTTGCATTATTTCTGTGATTTATTTAAATATACTACTATTGTATTTTTGTTGTTAAAATACATGGTAGTAATTTTATTAAACTAAAGAATAGATCAAAGGGAGGATACTCTGTAGCTACTGTGTTTTTATCTGTTTAAGAATGCGTGGATTCTGTAGGAAACTGCCAGGCTGTTGGTTCGTCGGGATTTTCTGCTAATGTCAAGGGGAAACTACGAAAGAACTGTAGCTGCACCGCACCAAAGAACCAAGGCCCCATTGGGATTCAATGTAAAGGATAATTTCATTGTGCCTGTTAAAACTTCTGAAATAAATCAAAGTTAAATGTTGAAATTGTTATGTGTTGGCTTTAATTTGAATCTTATTTATTCTATTTGACATATTCTGAACACATCGGTCTTGAAAAAGTAATGTGAAGCTGGCAGAGATTTGTAGTAAAGTGCCTGGTAAATATATGTTACTCATATATGTGGAATAATATATAAAATAGGGCAATTGGGTTCATAATTAGAACTATCTTATCATGTATATCTGGTTCAGGAGTTCGGAAATATGTTGTCAAACAAGGCTTTTACGAATGTATGATACATTTTTTAATCACATGACTTAACTAAAATAACTTCATTTTCATTTTAAAGATAACTCAAAGTATTTTATAGATACAATGAAAAGTGGGCAAAAGTGTCCATTAATATATTAACACGTGAGAAAGTGTTGTTATTTGACATAGAATAGAAAGAAATAAAAAATCCCTAAAGAACGTACAAAACGAAAAAAAATGAAATTGGTGCAGGCTCGGTTTCATTGCGCCTGTTCATGGGCGGTACTGGTACCGTCCACGCACCGGCTTAAGCAGTATTCAACATTTAAAATGATTTAGTAAAATTTGGAAGTTTAAAACATCCGCAGATGTATTCATATGGCGGTTTTCATGAAACCTTTAATGTGACACTTTAGTGCAATTCCATGAAAAGCGGCATATGGTCCCCAATTAAAAACAAATGCGTTTGCCCGAAACGAGGAAACAATGGGCGGAACTAAATAAAATGGAATTTTGAAAGGGGATCAGAGGTTATGATGCCTGCATATCACAGATAAGACGTCAAAGCAGGCCACATATCCTAAGGGTGATTCAACAGTATTCAAGTCATGAATACTGGAACCGCCCAACAAGCAAATAGCCGAATGACGAGAACTAAAATACCACAAGCACAACAAAAATGTCATGCATGTGATAAAACCATTTAATTTAAGACAAATCTCAGAAGCAAGACATTGAAGTAATAGGTAATGTAAGAATCCCTCCTTAAATTTGGGAAAATTTATACCATACATAAGAAATGTAGCTTGTAGTATTTATGTTATAGTTCAAGAATTCTGTAGTATAATCCTTTCAAAATATAGATGACATTTCTGCCAGCTCCTAATAAGTACATTTCTTTTTAATATGTCAAATGTTTCCAAAAATAAATATCTTTCAATGTCCTCAAAGAGCTAATCCCCTATTAGTAGTTTCCTTTTTCTAAAATTCCTACATTTAGAAATATAGATTGTATACCATATTGTCGAATAGCCATACAATGATTTTTTATGTAATAAGATTTCATAAACATATGTTACATCTAATCCTTGATTAAGAATACCTCATATTGATAAACCTATATCATATACAAAAGATTATAATCATCCAGCGGTAACAGCTGCTTTCAGCCATCTTACTTATTGAAACGTCATCCCAAAACAAACTCTTGCAATCATTTTTTATATCTCTGAACTACTTTAAGTTATGCAAGGTCTTTTAACATACGCAAAACTCAAAGCAGAATAGATTTGGCAAAACATAGTTTTGTGTATTTTTGTTTATGCATCATCACAGAGATTTACATATTTTAGAGAAATTTAGGGTTAATTCATCTAGGGAATTATATGCGAATTATATCGTAAGAGCTTTAACAGAGGGTTTTCCAATATCATTTCATGACCATATGTTGATAATAAAACGGACTTACAAACTTTCATTCACCCCTTTACACATCTGTTGGCATTTTCACAAACAGTATTTTATGAAAAAGATGTGATCGGGACGTATACTTTAAGTATAACAATTATATAATTATGAATAAACAGGTCAGCTTAACAAATTTGAGGACTCTATTTTATATAATACATGTAATTAATAAACGAATAGTTTAACAAAGTTGGGACTCTAGCATATGATTACATACGCTAGTCAGTTTAACAAATTTGTGGACAACAAATAACATCAGTTAGTTTAACACTAATGACTCTTTTTATATAATCATGAATAAAGACGGTGGATTTAACAAAGTTGTTAATCATATTAAATAATTTCGAATAACGCCGGTTAAATAAACAAAGTTGCAGTCATGGACTAATAATAAATTGTCTAGAAAGGACACTAAAAGACCATCATGAATTATGGAGGAGGGTTTAATACAAAACTGAAGACTATAATAAATTGTAACTGAAGGTTTGACAATCGTAAACATTTTAATGATTTTTAACGGAAGATGCGACAAGTAACGAAAGGTTTAATATAGTTGTGGACACAATATTGTAATGAAATAACATGGAAGATGTCACAATGCCCACAATATTCGTTAATTATAGAGTTACAAACTTTATTACACATTTATTATGAATACCCCGATGAATGTTATATAATTATGGACAACCATACATCACAATGAGTTATTACGGAGGGTTCTTCAAGGTCACAGATACTCTTAGACGTTTTAGGTAAGTACTATTAAGTTAACATTTTAATGTTTGCATAACTAACATTTAAAAGTATGCATAACTAAAAATAAATAAAACAATTTAATGTATGCATAACTTGAAGCCATTCAAAGCCTTTATTATACACCAAACGTGTTTATTTTTTCTTGATTTGATGTATATATTACTTGCACAAACATACGACCTTACAGAATTACAAGCGTGTGATCCGGAATGACGTTGCTTACGTTATGTCAATAAAGTATGTTTTTTAGCTTAAATTCTTCAAAGTATATCTGTAATTAAAGGTTTATTATTATAAGAATCTTACACCGGCTGCCGGTACAGACCGGAATATCTAGCTCGAGGGTAACTTTTGTTTACGGTAGTAACGAGGCTGTGCCGAGTTTCCGCTAAACAGTTACCCGAGAGCTAGATATTCGTTTCTGTGAAGACAGACGGTTTTGATTATTTTGCTTGCATTTGAGATATTAATCATTATTAGAAAAGAAATAACGAAAACTAATATTTTTATTTAGCTCTTTTTATTACATTCATAACGACAAAATGACATCATTATAATAACGCAATTCGTTCATTAGTCGCGTTGGAATGACGTCATTTAAAGCACGCGATTTGTCTAACATGATGGCTGCAAGACAGGATTTTATAGCACTGGTGTTAACACTAGATGTTGCTGTCTGATATGCAAGGAGACTCTTGGTCTATTACTTGTATTTGTCTATCGTGGATTTTACTAGAACGGATCGGAATCGGCGCTTCCGCATCTCGTGAGATTTTATCCTAGTAAACTCTATGCAAGTTTCAGATACTCATGTAACACTGTTTTATATATATGTACTAATATTAAAGCAGTGGTGTGCAGTTTTCATAAACCTCTGAAGGCAATTAAGTATTTAATATTTACTACACGATGTTATGTCGCGAAAAGTAGTTACTCGTGATGTCGTGTCAATTGTTGAAATACAATGGTATCACTTTAGGATGTTCTGAATTCTATTTCATTTTAGCGGACATAACTTGGCAATGACAGATTTAGGAACGCAATGGTTATTTTCTGTAGTATGAGAGATTTTTCAATCAATTATTCTTTATTATTGTCACACTGAATTTAAAAAAAAGATATTCACCGTCGTTTGTCTAACTTATCAATTGAACCTACAAACTAACGAACAATAAAAAATGTAAATACAAGTATCTGCAATATGATATTGATCACAGCGACACTAACATATTTTACATATTTATATCCAAATGCTGACATATTTGTCTCACAGCATTTGATTCTTTTATAATGTTTGTGTTATTCAGTGTTCGATTAAGTATTCGTCAGAGAAGAAAATAACGCTATATGTTCAATAGATGCCGTAAGCGATGATTAAGTTTATACAAAGCAAACACATGGCGACATCTGTGTAATGAAAGAAAGACTTCAATGTAAAATGTTTAAGTGGGTCATCAATCATGAAGGTTGAATAATATTTACAGAAATTTGATGACTATCTCTTATATCAGTAAACATGTCGGCAACAGACGTTTATGATTATTGGGTAAGCTAGTTCATATCGTGTTCATTATATATTTTCAGTCTACACAGAGAAGACAGCTCGGATAGTATCACATCTCCTCTATTTGTAGACGAAGAGAAAACTGATGCGATTCCGATGAAGTCTTACGGAGGTATAACTCACACGCGACTACAATCCAATGGCAATGGGAGAACGCTAGGCGAGCGCTTAGATCAGAGACATGGGTTAATGATTCTGAGAAGATTTGTTGTGGATATCGTGTGCGCGTTGGCTCTTACTGGAATTATAATGATGATGATAGAAACTGAATTAGTGTTATTTCACAGGACACCAAAAACGGAAATAATTGTTTTTGTATTAAAAGTTGGTATCAGCGCTTCTACTGTTCTTCTATTGATTGGGATTTGTTTCAATTATTATGTGGAACAGCAAATCAAAGCACTTGATGCGGGGGTTAGGGACTGGCATTCTGTGATAGTGGATTCCACGTGGCTCTGCCTAAGTGTTGAATTATTAGTTTGTTCTATACATCCGTTTCCCGGAGACCTTAAGATAGTTTATGTTTCACCGGAAGGCGTATCAAAAAAGGTCAGCGTAGACGCTGTTCTTTCAATTTTAATGATGGCAAGGCTTTACTTAATAGCAAAATTTGCTGTTGTTCACAGTCGCTTACTTACTGATACGTCAACGACAAGTATAGGAGCTTTGAGTAAAATAAAAATCAATACGGTGTTTGTGTTCAAAGCTGCCATGACAAATTATCCTAACCGACTGCTTATCGCAGTTATGTTAACAACACTTATTGTCAATAGTTGGGCTATGAGGACATGTGAGAATTATTACCTCGGTCCCAATGAGCCAACAACATACATGGAAGTCATGTGGCTAATCGCAACAACATTTCTGACGGTAGGTTACGGTGATAAAATTCCTCAAAGCTATTGTGGACGATATATTTCGATATGTACAGGTGTCATGGGTGTGGGGACAACCGCTCTACTCGTTGCAGTTTTGGCGCGAAACTTGGAACAGACGAGATCAGAACGCTACGTTTTCAACATGGTGACGCGGATCCAAATTGAAAATCGCAGAAAAGTTGCTGCAGCGAACGTTATAAAATCGTGTATAAATCTGTGGCGTGTAAAACAGTATTATCCGGATGATAAAGTGTTGCGAAGGAAATATATGGATAGCCTTAAAACATACATACGACAACTGAGACTTACAAACATTGAAAAAGCCCATGTTGGTGAATTTAATGTCGGTATTATAGAAGTTTCGGAAACGGTCAACAGAATAGCGGACGACGTTGGAAAGATAGATAAAAAGATAAATGGCCTAGAAACTGCCCAAGATATCTTTGCAAATCGGTATCTTAATATAGAGAATAAATTGGATGAAATAAAGTCTACCATACAAAGTAAAAAGTAAACCATGCAGGAACACTATTGATGCAAATATATATGTATATATAAAATAGGAAATATCCAAGAGCGCTTATTTAACTTGTACAAATTGAGGGACATCATTGTATTATGTATCGTTTGTCGTAGATTTGTAACATAGGTTCAAAAAGAAATAGTAAGTACATGTTTTTAGTTTGCAAATAATGCCTGCTGAATTTTAAATGATCTAACTTTACCACAAAAATGCTATCTAAAACAGATAACGGAACACATATAAACATTGAAATAGATATGACTGAAGGCGTATGTAGTTTAATTTAATTTACAATCACTCGCAAAAAGTAGAAAATAAAACATATCCCACCTATACATATTCGTTAGTTTTTCCTTCTTGTTGTTCTTGTACAAAACTTGTATGTGAACATAAGAATCATTGAAGAATAAGAATTATGCATTAGTCATAATTTAAATATGTTTTGACTCATAAGATAAAAGTAATGAAAATGTAAGCTGCACAGGCAATCTGGTAATTGTCTTTAAAGTTTACTCTAATAATTTAAACTGACATCAAAACTGATTCTAATGTTCATGTTGATTTCTGCTGAAAATGGTTCTAGGGTGCCGTTACGATATGTCACCTTTATCACTGCCGTTAATCAAAGCTAGCCTGTAATATTTTTCATTTTGCTATCATGTTTTATTTTTCGCCATTTGGTGATTAACATTTTATCTATTTTTCGGAATCTAACTGTCACAATAAAGAGTTAAATTTAAGATACATTGATGAAATAATAGTTGACTTACACCGTAATATTCCTAAGATTACTCTTATGATGGCGATAACATAGATGACAGTGATATAGTCCGCTACACAAGGACAAATGTAACAATATGTCTGAATAGGTGTTCATGAAATTGTTTATCGCTGAATTGATTCACTACATATATGTAGAACAGAAAATGACACGGATCGACTATGTAACACGAGTGAAAACATATAAAATATTTTAACAAGTAATTTATAATAATCATCACAATCATTCCGCTTCCTCAAACTCTTTCCTCCTTCTTTTCCTACTCTGCCTTTTTTTGTTCCTCATCCGTCACCCCTCATTTTCTTCCTCCTAATTATTCTTTCTTTCCTCCTCCTTCTCTTCTAATGATGTTAAAATGACAAAGAGCATGGGTGATATTCACAAATATGATAATGCCAACATTATTATGTGTCCAACAAAAGACAATAAACCGACAAAAAGAAATGCCAGGTGAAATTGTACAGATAGCATACATGCTTAAAACAATGATGACATCGTTATTGTATTGATATTGTGCACAGATATGTATAAATAACTAAGCTATTGTGTTCATTTTTAAAAGTGTTGTTCAAGTGTTTAGTTTATTAATAAAGTTTTGAAACTTGTATGTATTAACTTGAATAAGAAACTTTTCAACGTCATCTATATTAATGTCACTTTTGTTATGGGAAAAAGAAAACAAAAACCGCTTAATAAAATTGTATTGAGCTGAATTGGTGATCACGACAATCAGCAATAGGACAGTCGTGCTGTTGTTGCTGACGAAGGTGATTGAGATAATAATGACCATGTATGTTGTGGTGATTATAATAATGAGGATGATTATAATATTGATACTGGCCATAGTGAGGATGATTAAATCGATTATTATCATTATTATTATTAAATTTGACTCTTAATACCTCAAAGTCACTAAACTCGAAATTCCGCATAAGTCGAACAGTATTCAAAGTCCCGACAAAATTCATTTTTATCCATAATTAAATTTTAGCTCTGTAAACGTTAAATTTAAACTAACCGAGTCTCCGGATTTGTAAAATGGAATTTTAGGTCCCGGCAATTATTTGTTAACACATTTTCCGCTCAAAGTGTGATAACAGCTGACTCACCAAAGGTCGGTGAATCCAAGGTGGGATATTATCATACTGCTTAACATATGTTGTGATTGTTTGTAGGTTTTGAACCCCCGACTATCACGTGTAATTGCGACACTGTTAGAATCGGTTTTATTAGTATCTTCTTTATTGATTTTTATTAATTTAAAAAAATGCTTACAAAAACTAAATTACCATTTAATCAGGAACATTCATTATTACACAAAATTACTATTTATATTGTTCGTATTATTAGACTAATTAATTCTCCTCTGTAAATAAATTACCGTAAACTCCCGGTTCATGAAACTAGCTGCTTTCGTTTTAATCTGATTGTTAAGTTAAATTCACCTCACCTTTTCCCAGATGTTTGCACATTGTTCTTTCTTTATTAATTTGACAGTGCTTTTTCGATTGTTTTTCATCGTAATTGCTTGATAGGAACATGTGCTAGACGTTTAGGGTTAACAGGTTCTTCTAAAATTATACACATCCAGCACACTTTATTACTTACGAGTGGACCTGAAACATTTGTCATTCAATCAAGTATTTATAAACATTAACAATTATGAAATAAAGGCAGTAGCATCTAGTTACTCGACGTCCGTTTATCTCAACTAAAATGCCCAGTCCATATAAATTCGAGATACCGAGAGTGAGCTGTACCATTACCATTTAGGGAGATTAAATATGGTAATTGTAATAAAAGACGGCGCCCGGAAAGCCATGGTGGACTGACCGGTTATCAGATTTGTGGAATAACGTATGTATGTCTGTTGTTAATACATCAGAGTTTTGGAAATCTATTGGCAAAATTGGAGTGAATTGTAAAAAAAATAATGATATTCCAATGGAAGTTGTTTTAGAGGATGGGTCAATCTCAAGTGATATAGATATTGTTTTATCAAAATGGAAAAATGATTTTAGTTCCCTGTTCCAAACGACAAATAATGTTACGGATACATCAAATGATAATGATATTTTTGATAGCAATCTCAGTTTTAATACTCATATATCTTTGTTAGAAGTTCGAAAAGCTATTAAATCTGTTCATAAAGGTAAGGCTAGTGGTATAGACAATATTCCTGTTGAAGTTCTTAATAATGATGCAACAATCTCATTTTTACATGTTTTATTTAATATATGTTTTGATAATAGCATTGTCCCGTCGCTTTGGAGTAAGTGCATTATCAACCCCATTCCTAAATCATCCACATTGGATCGCAGAGACCCCTTGTCTTACAGAGGTATTGCCCTAGCCCCTTCTATGTATAAAATTTATTGTTCTATTTTAAATAGTAGGTTAAATGCTTGGTCCGAGAACAATGATAAGGTCTCTGACGAACAGAATGGTTTTAGAAAAGGTCGGAGTACTACAGACCAAGTACTTTGCTTAACAAATTTAATTGAAACTAGGAAAAAGTTACGTAAATCCACTTTTTGTGCTTTCATAGATTTTAAAAAGGCATACGATACTATAGATAGAAGTATTTTATGGAAGCGTTTATCTGATATAGGCATAAGTGGTAAAATGTTTGGAGCTGTAAAATCATTATATGTATCGGTAAAGTCATGTGTTAGGGTTAACACTCATAGGACAGGTTGGTTTGATGTTAATTGTGGCCTACGTCAGGGATGTATCCTTTCACCTCTTTTGTTTAATTTATTCATTAACGAGTTGTCCATTTATCTTAAATCATTTGGTAACAGTATAGACATTGAAACCGAGAATGATTGTATTATGCTGTACGCCGATGATATTGTTATACTGTCCGAATCAGCAGAGGATCTGCAAGTGTTATTAAATGCTCTACATTGCTGGTGTTCGCTTAATAATATGAATGTTAATGCCAATAAAAGTAATGTTGTACACTTCCGACCGAAATCTGAATTATGTACCCAATTTATGTTTACTTTCGGAACGAATCAGATTTGTATTGTTGATAGATATACTTACTTAGGCGTAGTACTTAATGAACATTTAGATTATGATATTACTGTAAAATCTGTTGCCCAGAGTACCAGTCGTGCTTTAGGATTGCTAATTGCAAAATGCAAAGTCATTGGTGGTGTACCATACGATGTCTTTACAAAATTATACGACACCGTCGTTTGGCCAGTTATTAATTACAGCGCTCCATTATGGGGTTTCCGGTCATATTCTTGTATCGAGGCCGTTCATAACAGAGCTATGCGTTTCTTTCTTGGTGTCGTGAAATATTCACCTAATGATGGTGTAGCAGGCGATATGGGTTGGAAACCCCCAATTGTCCGACAGTGGAAATGTATTTCTTTATACTGGTCTAAGCTATCGTGTATGAGTTCGGCAAGAATTAATAAACGTTTGGCACTCTGGTCTTATAATAAAGCTAGTCGCTCATGTTGAAACTGGTATTTTAATGTTAGAAGTTATTATGATGTCAATGATTTACATTTGTACACCAGTTTTATCAGTCCTATACCTCGTTCTTTTGCCCATGATGTTGAAATGAAAACATTTAATAATTGTATAAGTATTTGGTATAACAAAATCAACAATGTTATTGGGCCCTCTGGTCGTGGACGTAATAAGTTACGAGTGTATAGTAAATTTAAAACTGAGCATAAAGTAGAAAACACCAAGTCATAGATCTGTTTTCTGTAAATTCCGTATTGGGGTCGCTCTCATAAGGATTGAAACTGGGAGGTATGAAGGCTTACCAGAGCAAGCCAGGATCTGTCCTTTTTGCAATACTGATAGTATAGAAAACGAATTACATGTTATCTTGAATTGTTCTCTTTACAATGATATAAGACGGGATTTGTTGGCTAAAGCATGTTCCTTAAATAACAGCTTTTGTTTAAATAACAACACTGTCTGATGATGACAAATACTGTTTTTCTTTTTTCAAACATAGTTTGAGCCATAACCTGTTTTAATATTTTACAAAGACGCCGGTTTTTATTATGTAAATAGCTTCTTATTCATGTAAATATTTCTATCTTTTACATTTGTATGAACTACTACAGCTATTCTTCTTAGCTATTCTTAATTTGTTGTTTTTTTAACTGAAATAAAATCATTATTTTAGTTATTTTTATACGATTTCTCAGTTTTAATGTTATATGCTTACTATCTTAAATTGCTTCTTTCAGGTAGTCACGATGTTTCCTTTTATTATCCCCCGCCGAAAAGGCAGCGGGGGATATAGAAATAGTCTCCGTCCGTCCGACCTTCCGTCCGACATTTTTGTCCGGAGCATATCGTTAAAAGTACTTGAGTTATCAACTTGAAACTTCATAGGTGGATAGACCTCATTGAGGAGGAGTGCAGTGCACAAGAATGATAACTCTACCCTGCATAATTTATGAGTTATTGCCCTTTGTTATTTTTCAAAATTGATTTTTGTCCAGAGCATAACTCCAAAAGCCTATGAGATATCAACATGAAACTTCATAGGTGCATAGATCTCACTCAGGA